CTAGCAAATAGATCGGAGTTATACCAGCAATTCTCAATTTTTTCCCCAGGACTCATTTTTAATGCAATAAACATATAATATGCAGAATAAGCGGCGACAGCTGAGCCGAACGATACATATTTCAAAATTTTTTGTTGATTTTCAGTTTGGGATGAAACTCTCAGTAATCTTTCGGCGTGAAAATTCGAAAAAAAAACAGAAGTGGTCGGATAGAACGAAAAACTACATTAGACTCAGCTTTCGCCGCTTATTCTGCATATTATATGTTTATTGCATTAAAAATGAGTCCTGGGGAAAAAATTGAGAATTGCTGGTATAACTCCGATCTATTTGCTAGAGATCTGGAAAAAATGAATTTTCTCAGTGACGGAACAAAATTAAAAAAAACGACTTTTAAAGTGTGTTCAATGACGGTCCTAACGACATACAAAAATCGGCTTCATCTCTTCACAAAAAAAAACTAGATAGGTTTGCAAAATTGTTGATGAACTTTCTACAGAGAGGGTCCAAGACGTCTGTACTGGATAGATCTTTGACTTAAATCTCGATCAAACATCAGATTCATACGTAGTTTTTAATGCTGAATCGGAAAAAATGCTTTTAAAATGTTAGAAGAACGAAAAAGAACAACGCCGGGCTTTTCTGAAACCAAAACGTTCTTCGAAAACTTAGACCCTTCAAGTAATTTCAATTTTTAGACATGAAAAAGCTTTATTCAAACATTAAAACACAAATTTCTCACAATTGAGTAGTTCAGTTGAGGATCGATTAATCACTCTTAACTGCTTTTGCTAAACACTTCGTAAATTCGATGTTATATACGTCAGACTGAGACGCTTGAAATAAGCTAGATGCAACAATTAATCATAAAATTGCGTTGGTTGGATGCGTAACGTTTAAGTCTAACTTATATAATCTCAACTGATCAAAACAAGGTCAGACTTCAGTGAATGACTCATCGCCATGATATTGGTGCACACTGTAAACCAGCGAATTGACATAAAAACGAATTAAGATAGTTAATATTTTTTGAATAAAAAACATTAATATAATAATCAAGTTCCACGAAAGTGTTTGTCACTCAAATAGAAATTCATTTTCTGCCATAGTTAAGTCTACTATTCATTGTTAATGGATTTCAAAATATTTGATTGGTCAAAAATTATGTGATTCTTTTTAAATGAGACAAAGCTTGTTTTTTCAACATTAATTAACTATATTGTTCTCTTAAGATCTTATATTAGTGTAGTTAAGGCCAAGATAGGTTATCATTAATTTGTGTTTGTACAATGCTTATTAAACCAAGCCTTAAAAAAGAGTGTGTAAAACTGACAGAAACACTCTTTCACCTGGCCAGGTTGTGTTCTTCTAAGTACTGTTTTTCTTTCCTTTCTAATATTTATTCTGAAATAAAAACTTTCAAATACTGTTATTATTCATTTTGCATTCGAAGTATACACAGATTTACAAGTCTTTTTTTTTTATTCTAGATTTACTTTCGTTCGTACAAATCAACAAAACACTACACTATGAAACTATTCAATCGATGGATTTTTTTAAGTGGATTTATTTTTTATCGTACTTACAGATAGAGTTCTCGTACAGTCAGTTAATAATAGTAGAATGCTCTAGATTGAATTTACATATTTGAATTTTTATTCTAGTTAACTTCTTAATTAACAACTTGCTCTGATGCTCCTTACAATACTCCTTTACTCATATCAATAGTATGACAAGTCCAAGAAAATTTGCCGAGAAAATTGCGTTAATGCAGCAAAAGGCTGCTGAGGGTGATGCGGCTTTTTCAAAAATTATTTTTGAAGTTGAAGCAGCAAAACAAGTTTGTATACTGATTTCTTCGTTTAAATTGTTATTTCAGCCATACTTAATTTATTTTAGCATGTTGAAAGATCCTCTGTTCCTACGGGAAACAATATAATGTATCAGTCCTATGGAGTGAATAATTCTAATAATATCGTGAGCGGCAATTTTGATTCATTGGACATACATTCAGCAAAATACGATCAACAAGGTCTCGGTTTTCCGGTATGTTTAATCTCAAATTATTGTTACTATTTTTTAACTCTTAACTTTGATGTTTTTTAGTCTCATCTGAGTATGACAAAAAACGGCATGACACTTATTCCATCAGATAATCATTCTAATCAACAACAAGTAAATATACAACCATGTTTTCATTCTAAAAAGATCATTAAGATTTGTCTATTCAGTATTTATTTTTTTCATTTAGATCGAAAATAATGGAAATTTATCGGAGAGATTACTACAGCCCCCTGATGCACCATGGCGAAGGTAAAGTATTAGCCAGTCGCTCAATAAAAAGCAAAACCGAGATGTTTTATTTATTCCAGAACTCACTCGGATTCATCACTTCATCATACAGCGACAGTTCTATTGCCGATAAACAATGATATGTCAGGTACACGCACAGATTTGTTTATATTTGTTATTTTGCGAAAAAAATTTAGATAGTAAGACTCAACAGTACATTTTTCTTTTTAGTAGAAAATAGAATAGAAACTCAATATTACAATACTTTGTGTTTCTATACACAATATCTAACCGACATTACTGATTTCGCTCTTCTTCTTTTCTAGGACAACTACCTAATCATCATTATGCTATGGAAGATGTAAAGGTATAGATTCACTTTTTTTCATCTTGCTTATGTTTCTAAGAAGGAAAAAAAATATCAAGAGCATTTCAGTACCATTCTTTTTTGTACTCCTTTTCATAATGACTGGATTACTTTGTACCAAGTAGTCAGCGTAAGAACAATTACTTCTTTCATATTGAAAAGTTTTGAGTAATCTTTGTATTTTTATTATCATCTTTTGCACGGTATCTGTCTTCATTATCCTATCAATATTAAGACCAAGACTAATTTATTCACAAAAAGTGGGAGTCAACAAAGATTCCTGGCCTGTAGTATCAATAACTCGAACCAAACTACAAAAATGAAATAAGGAAAAAGAAAAAAAGAGACTAGAAGATGCAACATAAAGATAAAGAAACGATAAAAATCAACACAAATAAAGTAACGTTAAAGAAAACAACTGACACGAGTTTATTTTGACTAGGACCAGGGCTGAACTTTACTGTAAAAGATACTGAGCTAGCGCCTTTTTAAAAGACGTTAAAAAAGAAAAACAAATAACTGATTCAGGAAGTTTATTCCAGCCCGAAAAAAAGTTCTGTTTAGGAAGAAAAACCGTTGACAGAGGTTGGAATCCGAACATATTTAGAATGATGACAGCGTAAAGTCGAGTAATGAGGATGATGAATAGAGTAAAAGATGGAAAGAGGACTAAGACGATGATAAATTTTGAAAAACTGTACCTGTCGAAAATATTTACGGCGAAGCGAGAGGTTTAGAAGAGAAAGTTGTGGCACACGTAAAGAACTAGACAAGCGATAATCAATGTCTCTGGCATGTTCGTTCCACCTAAGCTCGTGGGAAACAAGAATACCAAGACAACCGACAGAAGACAACAGAAAAAGGGACATTATTAATATACAGTTGATTGTAAACAAACAGAAAAAGATCAAAACTAAAAGGAAGCCAAGAACATTTAGACACATTGAGAGACATGAGATTAGTAGAAGATCAATTTGAAACAGAATTTATACAGTTTTGAACATCAGAAAAATTAAAAGAATCCAGAGAAGAAAGGTACAATTAAAAAGGCATCATCTGCAAAAAAACAGATTTCACAGTTTGCTCACTATGCGTGTCTATTTGCCTCAATGAGTCATAAGTAGTTACTTTTATTTGTAGCCTATAGTGCTCTATGATTCACAATGTTTAAATCAATATTCGCAAGAACAATATCATCATCTCCAACAATTCAACATCACCAATAATTGTCATATATTTGATCAAAACAATGATAGTCAAATTTATAATGACTTTACACAAACTAACAATACTACGAATACAAATCATCATGTTTCTCATACAAACAATCCTCCCGTACGTTGCGGGAATGTTCTCATGATACCTACGAGTCAACATCCACCACACGGCGGTTCATTGCCGGATTTATCATCATTCCAAAATCAATCAGGCACGTCTCATCGACAACAACAGTCTTATTCGTCATCACCCTCCTCCTCTTCATCAGTCTCACAACAATTTAACCAGTTTCAACCGAAATCTCCAACTCATCAAAATAATTCATCTGCGCCCGATGATCTGTTTTCATTTGTAAGTGTCACAGTTTGTCCACTACTGAATAAATTGTAGATGGATAAACTCATAGTTTGAATAAAATATATTTTATTGTAAACGTTTTTAGGGTCCTCAACAGCAACATACATCGAATGTTGGACCAGTCAGAGGACCGAGTCCAAGCATTCGTCGCAGACATAGCCCTATAGGTGATGGCAAGAACACTTCACCACGAAGACAAAATTCACCATCTCCTGATGTGTGTCCGGTATACAAGCAAAAAAGGCCTTTTAATTTTCTCCGTTATGTCTTATATATTTTGTTGTAGAATCAACAAACTGTGTATCGTGTTGAATCATCGAGTCCACAGTCACAAAGCAGTTACTCACCTCAGGGCTCACCGCATTTATTAGCAAGTCCAGCAAATGATATAAGTCCATTTTCACCGCAAGATAATAATCAACAATATTTTACTTTACCAAATCAATTTGATCAAATAAGTTTGGTATGAATTAAAAAAGAAGAGTTTATGTGAATAATTATTAATATTTTTGATTTAGGAGGGTCCCTTTGTATTTGCACAGCAACCATCCAATTCATCCCATAACCAATTAAATTCTTCTAATGGTGTATCGTACACCAATTCCCATCAGTCGGCAACATCAACGTCGTCAGCAGCGCATAATTTAAACTGCTTACGACCCAGAACATTTTTTCCAACATTTATCGATGATCTGTAAGTGTAATGATAAACATCATACATATTTCTTTTCGAATTGTCCTTGCTAGCTTGGTAAACTTAATTTTCAGGACACTAAACATATGTGTGTGAAGCTATTCCCAAGTAATGCTATTGCTATAAATAACTAGTTTACTAATATTCATTTAGATCTCTAATAAATACTAACTTTTTTATTTTGCTTAGCATATACTGCTAGAGAATAAAACACGGTTTCAGACTAGGGAGGGAGAGAGATAGGAAGCTTTCTTCTTCCAAAGTTTATAAAAATTTTTGTTTTTGAAATATTTTCTACTAGAAAATTTTTCAGAAAACTACACAGTTTAGAAAAATCGATTTTTGTTTGCTCAGGAAAACTGAAATTTCTGGCTACTTTTAACCAGATTTTTTAGGATACTGTTTGCAAAGACTTTTTCCTTTCCACGTCTTAACTCACTAAGTACCAGATGTTTAAATTTTGATTTTTCTGACTTTTTATGCATAAAACGATGTATCACAATAAGGTTTAAAAATAAAATTTCATTAATATATTATTTTATGAAATTTTTAGGCTTTCAAACTTAGATCCCCCATAAATTTACTTAGCCAATTTTCGGTCATTTGAAAGTCGTGCGATTATTTTACGAGACAAATCTTATGCTTTCATCAACAATATACTGCATAATAAAAATATTTACACATCTGAAAATAATCATTTATTTAATATCTCCAAATGGGGATCATGGTACTTAATAGGTTAAGCGATCGCGTATAATGAATGACTAATGATATAAAAAAAGGGAGTTAAACAATAGAAACAATCGCTTAACCATAGCATGAGTTTTAAATAGTTACTGCATGTTTCATCTTCTTTACGTTCCGATTTCTCGCCATACAACTTACATTTTTTCTTTTATTTAGACGCCCTTATTGTCAGTCTCAAACAGTGATGACCGTATCGACAAATACTAGTCAAAAATCACCAACTATTCCAAATATTATTCTCACTGGTATGTATCTAATCTTAATAAAGAATCAAATAACTCCCGTTTATTTGTTCTAGATGCTGACAGTGCAAAATCGGATTTATCAAAAGATTTAACCGATTTTTCAAATTCATTTGATAATTTACTGAATTCTGATGAATTATTGGATGATAGTGATTTTGTAAATAATCTTTCATTCAGAAAACATAAATTGAAATTTAGCTACTTTTTTACTTTTAGTTGCTCAATTCTCCGGACCTTTCTGTTGATCCGACTCTGTGTGATGATACATTTCGAATGGAACGATAAAACAAAGAGAATTGTATCATATATAAGCTCAAAATTTTTGTCGTTGCATTACACGTGCCTGTCTATTAGTCGGTACACAAAATTTCTGGACTTTTCATTATATCTGGTGTCGAAGTCTGTCAGTGTGATTTCGTCGACAACCGAATATATTGTTGTGTGTATATATAAAATAGACAATGTGTTGTTTTTTTTAAAATGTGTTTTTCGTTATGCATGTATACTTCTTATATCATAGTTGATATAAAGTTTTTTCATTTCTTTCCATTATTTAAATCGTTTTCTGATTTTAGCCCAAATATAGTGACGTATCTACATATTTCTACCCCGAAATTATAGAGAAATGAAGGAACTAATATGACCAAATGATCCTACTTATGATAGTTAACTTTCTTCAATGTAGTATGACGTTGCTGAATTTCCCTATTGTTCACTCGATAAGTTTTTGTTTATATTTCGCCAGTGATACCAGTTTTTTTTAATTCTCTACTGTTTGCCGTGTTGTTAAATGTTCGCCCAGTTTTGTTTGCTCACACTAAATGTTTATTTTTTTTCCCTGTTTCCGTGTGCTCACTTTTGTATCTTTATTCATACCAAGCGCGCGTACATACACATATTAGTTTGTCAGATTTTTTGCCGTTGTTGTATTGTTTTTCGTTTTATTCAGATCACACCACACACACACACACACATACACACATACACACACAAATATATATATATATAAGAGCAACAAACAAAGCGAATATAAATCTCAGGGGTTATGTGTGTTGTGTTTATTTATTTGAGCGTGCACCCTTGTTATTTGCTTCGTTTGATCTACTCGCATACAACGTCCTAAGCATGCTTTTACTGTTTCATGGGGTGCATTTAAATTTTTTTTTATTTCTTGTTGTGAACTTTTTCAGCAAACTTTACATGTGCGCATGACACTTTGATGCTCTCAGAGCTACTCATTTTCTCTGTACATATGAGTGTTTATGTGGTGGTATTAATCCTTTTCGTATTATAATTAGCTTATATTTATTTAATAACCAGATCCTTGCCTGTGTGAGAGGTGTCTGTGAGTGCATGATTACTTTTCTTTCTATTGATATCTGTATGTATGTTGTTCTTAGTGTTGTTGTACTTGGTTTTTTTTGCTTAACTCAGGTAGAAAAGAAGCCTATTACCTGAAGAAAAGAATTGTTTTGGTGTACTTGTTCTTTTTTTAAACTTTTATTATACGTGCTAAATAATGTTCGTGTTCGAATTTCTTTTATTTCGTCTTTTTTCTTTTTGTACAAAAAACCAGACATACAATTTGTTTGTTTTAATTTATATTATAAATAATATAACATGAACAAATAGAAATTTGATAGATATAGAACAAAATGATGGAAAACGGAAACGCATGGTCATGTGTATTTGATGGATCGATTGAGTGCTTATTTACAACATGAAGAGAAAAGTAAGTTTAGAGTAGACTTTAGGTGGTCATATTTGATGCTCATTAATACTATAATATTGCACACTACAAAGCTATTGGTTGTTACATGTAATAAAGATCTGAACTTTTCCATGCCCATTAATTGTCTTACAGAAAATATGAAATTTCTTGTCATTTTGATCAATTTGACATCATCCTCGTCCACTTAGAAAAATCTAGGTTCTATAGACAAATAGCGCTGGATACCATTTTTAAATGTTGCATGGTTTTGAAAAAAGTAATCTATTTGGGTACTTTTGAAAGAGCTATGTATTACATTAGAATGATGTTTTCTACAATCTAGATTAAAGACTTTTCTGAATGTTTGTTATAGAAGTCTGCAGATCGAGTATATCTGTCCGAATTTTTTTGACAACCGAGTGCGCCAAGTCCTTCGGGTCAACATTTTTAAAAGTAAAAAAGATTATGTTTTTCATTTATATGCCATTCGAAAGCCCTTGAAATGTTTTACAAAAGAAATAAATCAGATAATTTATAACGATGAGCGCAGACCGCATGAAAAAAGTTCCCTGGCGCCGATTTTGGCTCTTATAAGGCTCTCTCCTTCTAATTTGTGATAATTATCTTCATCATATGAATAAATCAATAGAAAATATGATATATTACAAAAGCAAAAAAAGTACAGTTAGATAATGTATTTAAAAGAGTGTGCAATTCTCGTTCTAATGTGATATATTTTGTTAGAATAGTTCTGTTGTTGAATGTCTGTTCAAATTAGAATTTAGCTAAGGGATCTGCAAACTGGGTGATTTATCGGTAATGTTTTGTTTTTTTCGTAGTTTTCACTTTCCATTCAAGGATACTCTGCTAACAAATAGAGTAAGAGTTTACCTCTGAAATCAATATAAAAAATTTTAATCATTATAGCTTGTTTTCTCTGTGCATAAACCACGAGTAAATAAATTCGGAGTCCGGTAGTATAGTATCCTACACAGAACAGAGAAGTTGCACATGGATGTAATATATAAAATTATGCTATAGAAATTTAACAAAAATGTTTATCGTAGCAAAAGATCATCGACTTCCTCATTTCACCGATGATATTTGTATAATTGTGAATTTCATTGTTATTGCTGACGTTATCTTCATTGTGGTTACCATCACCGATATTGGCTATGTCTATAATATTCCCATCATCTGCCACATTTATATTTAAAGTGCAACTACATTAATCTAAACATCAACAAGTTCAAGTGTTGTTGATAAATTGAAATAATTTTGATCGTTTATAACCTCACATTTGTTCTTCTTTATTTTAAGATTCTTGACTACATTTTTTTCTAACAGAAAATTAAAAAAAAGAAATTTTCTGAGAGATTTCTGGAAGACCGAGTCGTAATTCCGAAACTTGCAATATGAATATATTAGTAGAGAATTCCTAAGTGATTATATGGCCCATATAATTATCAAATATAGTGGGGGAATTTTAACCGTTTGATGAAATAACGTAGAAAAATATTAGATATTTTATAATAAAAATTGAAAATCCAGTGAGAGAATAATTTCTGTCATTTCATTTTTCATGTTAGTCATCGAGCACATTTTAGTAACTGAGGAAATAGTGATGTGGTACTTACCTTGAGTTGTAATTATTTACCACCAACATCTCATCAAATAGTTATACATCTTTGACTAAAGCTAATATTATTGTTTACACTCATAAAATTAGATTATTCTCCCGAAGATCATGCGTTTTTTTTCTGTGTATGTTTACGCTATTTTCCAATATCTTTTTTTTATATGGAAAAAAAATGCGTAAGAAGTAAAATTTGGTGAAACAAGATAAACTATTTGAGGAAGATGGCTTGAAGCGAAAGGAGAAAAACTCAATCCTTCGACTTAACAGCAAGAGCGAGGTAAGATAACTGTAAAAAAATACAATTATATAGTAAAAATCAATTTTAACAACAAATATAAGAGGATTAAGGCTACAAAAAAATTGAGGTTTTTTCATGAACAAAAGATATAACACTTGAAGCATGCTATCGACCAACGCTAGGGTGGACAAAACGGTAAGGCAGAGAGCTTAATTACTCTTCCACTCTGACGAGAATGGACGCCAGTGTTATGTAACGAGAAAGGATAGGAAAAAACTGTTTTCACTTTGTTCCACGAGGGATGCTTGCATAGAAAATTCGATTAGTAGTTAAATCATTCCATCTTCTGATTTTATAGACGCTGAATGTGTGCCCGCTTGAGTATTGTCCTGAATCCCGTTTTTCGGATGAACTATAGGCTAAAATTTTGACATACAATCGGATCCGGAAACAGTGAATTGTTCTAGATTTTTGAAAAACAAGAGAAAATCCTTTTTCTTAATGCATAACCAGAGGACTGATTATAATGACAAATACAAATAGAAGATTTAATTAAAAAGGTTATTGGCATCAAACGAAATTAGAAGAAAAACCTGTTACTTTTACTATGATATAAATCCATCATCACTGTATCTTTAATAATCGAATCTGTCATTAAACACTGCTTGATAGGATACATAGACAAGCATCTACGCTAGTTATACTTGCCTGTATATTTAGTCCAAATTATTTGTTTATATAATAATTAAAGTTATTTGTTAAAAAAAACTAAAGCTTTTTTGACAAAAAGAAAGAAAGATAACTGGTGATTGTCTATATGAATCTAGATAGTGCTAGAAATTTAATTAAAATGCATAAGATCGTATTTTGATCTATTTAAGATAGATCTATTAGACCAACGGTCGACGTTGACGTTTCATTCTTAATTGAGTATAGATGTTGTGTTTATCTATAATATATACATAATCAATATATGTGACGTGTCTATTAGAGTGTATGTGTGTAGATATACATATGATTTCTTTCTTCTTCTTTTTTTTGACCATACCAACCAACACTCGCGTTTTCCTTAACTGATTACATTTTTTACACCGGCTAGAGAATCATCAATGCATAATAATATATTCATTTCTCTCTCTCTCTTCCCTCAATAGGTGAATTATCCGCATGATTACTACACGTATTTTCACTGAATGAAGATGACATTCTTGTTGGAGCTTATTTCTTTTTTGGTTGATATGCAATATTTTTGACGATGTATCACACATATTTGTTCAAAGTCAAAAAACGTTTCAAAATGACAAAGAAGTAATGTAATTTTATGTTTTGTTAAATTGAAAGTATGAGAGTATAGTTGAATGTTAGGTTTGTAACAGATTTTAGACGATATAAGTTACGTTATTTTTCTCTAAATTAGTAAACACACTATAATTATGATAAATTTAAATATAATTGAAAGTTAAAACCTTTATTGTCCTCGAAATTAAATATATACCATGTTCCACAACAAATCGTCGTTTATTATTTACAAGTATCATATATACACAGTAAAACAGATTTGCAAATGTCATGTCAATATTTGATACTGTGTTATCATAATCACACAAGGTAAAATAAATTCACCTAATTAGTCAAAAATTTTAAATATAAGGATATATATAACTCTACTTCTATACTGCGAAATCTAATAGCTTTCTTTGGGCTCACTGTATGTAATTATCAAAAATCATAATATCATAAGTTAAAAGTTACAAAATTACTTATACTTATAATGTGGCGTGGTGATGAGAATATCTGTTTTATCCTTTTGTTATAGAAAGATCTCTTCAAATTAGATTAAACAAAACTGTGACACAGTTAAGTTTATTTTCAAACGTTGATATCAAGATTCATAAAACAACATTTCTCTCACTCACTTCATGCACAAATTATATAAGTTTTTTATTTAACATAGACATATAGATTTACCGCATTGAAATATTGTATAAATGATGAATTTTTTCAAAGGTGAACCACGCTCAACATACGCACATATCCCATTATATGCCCGTTATGCTTATGGCTCTTTAAAATAATAATAATCAGTTGATATATGTGCGCTATGAGAAAATGGAAAGTAAAATATCAAATAGAACAGAGAGAGAGAGAGAGAGAGAGAAAGAGAAAGAGAAAGAGAGAGAGAGAGGGGAAGAGAGAAGAATTGATTTCATTGTGAAACATAATTCATGGGCAAAATAGGATGGGATGTGACAATGGTATAAAGTAAGTTGTAAGAAGAGCCATATTACCGAATTTGTACGTTTTCTTTTTTTACGCATTAAAACGGTGGTAAAAACTTCTTCTATCTTCTAGACTATTGTCATCATAAGATACCATTTTTATCCACATCATTCCAACGTTAAGTCCATATTCTATAGTTTGTGCTATATTCAATCCCATACCATAAGCTCAAGCTTCTGCTCATTAAAAGTGCTTAATAGACAGCGATAAAACTCTGTGGTGATAAGAGAATCGCGCTCACGTCATTCCTTTCTCTCTCTTCTATAATCAATCGAGTACTCAAATACTTTTTTATGATGTATAGACTATGCATTAGGATAAAAAGAGAGTACACACACACACACACACACAAAAGGTATAAGAGATAAGCCAAAAGTATGATTGTTTTTTTTTGTTCATGTTAATAAAAATATACGTGCATATGAACACATCTTGACTTGATTTAAATGACCCATATAAATTAGTTTCGTTCACATTATTTCCAACGCCTCGTACAGAGTGAGTTATGATTATAAACATTCGAAGTAAGAGATGTCTATTTTAATTTCTTCTTCTTATAGATGGATATATATAGAGAGAGGGAGATATATACATTAAACCATAGTTAGTAGTCAATATGTTATATGCCATTGAACTAATCAACATAGAAGTTAAACTAATTTTGTCTTTTAAAGTAAAATAAATGAAAGTGATTCTAAATTGTAAATTTTGAGAATACATGTACTCGTAGAAAATGTTCTTTTTCTGTAAGTTAAATATGAATTTTCATCAACTATTTTTCCGCGTACAATATGGACTATTTTACTTTGCTGTTAACTCACTTACTTCTTTTGGCTATAACTATAATACGACAAAAGGCGATTCAATTTGCACATAGAGTAAATATTATTACATTATTTTCATAAAACAAAATAAAATAAAAATTTGACTCGTAATGTTATTTATAGAGGAAAAAAAAATTTGATCATTTTATCAACTTTACATGGATCTTCGTCTTATATATTGTTTTCTATTTGAAGATTTAAATGGAACTTAAAACGAACATCTTCTATCACTAAACAAATATATTCATTTCTTTCTCCAATGGAAATTTCTTTAAAAAAAGAAAAGAAGAATGTATGAAGATTCTCAGTGAAATAGATGCTTATGATGTACCTTGTAGTTTTATTAAGAACTACTTAAATTACGAACGAAAAATCAATTGATCAAATATGACACCTCTCTATTATAAATCGTGTATATAAACGAGAACAATAGAACAATTGAACTAGAGAGAACAAAAAATCAATAGAGGCAAGTGACAACACATAGTACAAAGTGATACACAACAATGGTATTATTAATTTTTCTCTCTTCCATTGTACAAAAGTCATACATGAATATAACAAAAAAAAAAAAAAAAAAGAAGAAAAGTATACTTTCTGAGAATAAACTGATTTATTAGTAAATCGTTTTCACATTACAGTATAGGATAATAAAGCACATATAAAGTTAAAAAGCATACTAATGTAATGATAAAGTGATTATACAGTCCAGGTATTGTAATAAACATTTTTCTCGCATATATATATATATATATATAGTTCAGAACCAATGTTGATTATTCATCTTTGAATTCTGAGAAACACACAACTGTTGAAAATCTAAAAGAAGTGAGTAGCCAGCTGCTTTTTATTATTGAAATGTTCATTTAATCTTGAAAACTTAAGAAAATGAACGATAAATTTGTGATAAATCGATCTTAATCATTCTCATATCATACCTACAATTGATTAAACTATTTTCTATTTGAAACGATTAAAGTTACATCATTATTTTGTTTTATTTTTATATCCCTGAAGATGTTTAATAAATTAAAATTTTTATTTGTAAAATATATTTCAAGAGCTATCAATTGATTAGAAGAATAGGAGAGAAGATGAAGAAGAAAAAGAAAAATTGTAGATGCAAGATTTTGTTGTATGTTTGTTTTGTGTTACATTTCATTTTGTATATACTGTCTTTCAATTTAGGCATTTTTTGTTATTCATCATATTCTTTGGACCATTTTTTTTTTCCATGTACACACACATACATACACAATCTTACCGATTTTTTTTTATTATTGTTTAAATGTTTTTTTTCTTCTCCTCTTCTTCATACCTCATCGCATAATAAAGATGCCAAGGATATGCTGATACTTAACTGTTGTTGTTGTTACTGTTACATTAAATAACAGTCAGATTTAAAATACAGTTTTTTTTTTTTTTAGTTTTTCGTAAATATTATTTAAACAAATTTTTGTATGTATTTTAGAAAGAGCTAATTGTGAAACTAGTCGACTTTCAATAAAAATTCTCTATATGGTTTTGTTTTTAATGATTAGACGTTGATAACCATTAGGATTATACTCTTTCGTTTTATCTTTGAGTTTTCCACTATTCTTTTATGTGTAGACACACACATACACACTAGCATTCTTTATGATCTATACGATTGATTTATCTCTTGCATAAGAATATCTATTATTATAAACGGATGTTTTGTTTTCTCTCTTTCTTCTAGTATCATGCAATAGCAAAAAAAATCAGAATATTATTTGTTGGAAACAACAAATTTAAATCTTTTTATGAGAATTTTGATATTCAATAAATATATTTTATAATATGATTTAGTAAGAAAAGAATTTAATCTTAAAATAGAAATGTCACCACCATCAACACAATTTTCACAACAAACTACGAAAAATTATCATCGTTCATCAGCTGCCACAATTTATGATCATTTAATTAATTTAAAAAAATCAAATTATCGTCCAAATAACAATAAATTGTTGATTGATGATTCATCAAACTTGAGAAATTATTCAACAATTAAATTTAATTCAATACCATTATTACCAGTGTTAGATGAATCGTCAACACCATCAAGAATATTGTCATTTTCAATTGATAATAATACTAATAATAATAATACGGTGTCAATTAGTATTGATAAGAAAAATGGTGATCAACAATCCTTCGAAAATGATAATGTGACAATATTGAGAGAAAGAATAGAAACAGGAAATAAAAATAGACGTTGTACATTGACGAATATTTGTTTTAACAATGATGATGGCACCATATTAACACAAAATAATGGCAATGAACAAGAAAATAAGCTTTCAACAAATAGAAATTCAATATCAACATGGACAACAATAAATCAACACATTAGTCCAACAGCTACAAATCATGCATATATGAAACGTAATTCTGCTATCAATAAATTAAATGATTTGAAACAAACACATTATTCAGGTAAATTTAATGAGAATCTTTAAAAGATTGATAGTTTATAGAATATTCTTAATTTAAATTTAGTTTATCAAGATGAACTATTTTCTAGATGAAAGTTTATCGTGATTTTTTTACTTTATCTGATAATTTGAGAAATTAGACGAACGTTTGCCTGCAATTATCCATTTTATATTTGATCAATAATACATATATTTTTCTTTCAAATCCGATTTTTTAAAATTGTTTTCTTTCTGTTATCTTCTTTTTTTTTGTTGTTGTTGTTTAGAACATGAGATTAGTCAAATTCCAGTAAAAAATATTGATCATAATGATACAAAATGGAAATCAATAAATACGAGTAATAATGCTAAGACAAATCAACATTATTTTCTTTTAAAAATGAATAATATTAATTGTCATAATACTCCAATTGATACCAGAATACCAATAGATTATAAAACATTGATTTTAAATGGGAGTAAACCACGACGAAGATTTCATACACTTCCTTCAGGAAATATGGTGATAATTAAAAAGAAAAGAAATAATCAATCAAAAATAAATGATAATCATCAACCAGCTATAGTATCATTTGATATGGCAAATGATAATGCAAAACAATCGTTTCAACAGGTAAGAATTTTTCTATATCTTTCTAATCAATACAATGTAATACAATCAATTAATCAATCAGTCAATTATAATCCGTTCATTTTATTTATTTTTTTCTATTAACATTTAACAAACTAAGATTAAAACAGTTGTTTTGTACTTGAATGATGTTAAATAGACCTTATAAGGTTAACTATTTTATTTCTAAGTTTTTTTCATCAATAGATATTAAAAATCTTATGTATATGAATATTATTTCATGTTTAACAAACAAATGAGTTCAAAAAAATAAATTATCAATTTTAAAATTCTTAGAATTTTAATTCTTTTAAATGGTATACGTTGAAAAACAAAAAAAAATATCAAACTAAAATCTTCATATTTCGAATAAATAATTTATTTTTCGTCCTTAATTTAGTTTTATTCATATAATGTTTTGTGTGATATTTATATTTTAAATAATTAAACAACTATACGAAGTATTATCTTTAAAATTATTTGTATGAATCTTTATTTTCTTTTTTAAGAACGACAATATAATTGAAAATCAACATTTAACCAATCCATTTAATATAGATTCAAATAATTTTGTAAATTCAAAACGATTATCAAATGATAAATCGACAACAATCGCTAAACAAAGCAATAATATTAGATCTCCAAAGAAAATATTTCAAACAGATGAAAGAAATTTGCCGTTGTCGTCACTATCCTGTTATCGTAGTGATTTATCGATAAAACCATTTTTATTAGAAAATGATCATAGTACGTTGTTGTTACGTGAAATATCGTTGAAAACTGATGGAAAAAATAATGATAATGATGATAGTAATGTACAACAGTTTTGTCGTCATAAGAGTAATAATAGAATCCAACAACAACAAAAAGAAGAAGTAGAAGAAGAAGAAGAAAAGAATAGAGTATCGTTCTGTTCTTCTTCATCAACAATTTCAGCTATACCTATTAATATAAAAATAGAAAAAAAAAAGAATCATTTTCTACAACAAAATGATGATGATACTGATAAATCAAGTAAAAGAAAAATTATTCTAAAACAACAACAAGAAAATAATGAAGATGATACATTAGTTTATTATCAATCGTCTAATAATTTAAAACAAATTTTAACTACTAAAAATGATTTAAATCAAAAAGGTTATAGATATAAACCAATTGTTATTCTTCATCAAACAACTCATCGACTAAAAACTACTGATAAACAGCAAATATCGGTAAAAATTACACTTTGTTCTCTCTTTCTTTTCATAGCACGTGATTCTAGTTAGAAAAAAAAAAAATAGGTATACAGTCGTACTATTCTATACATACGACTACTACTACTACTACTATTACTAACAGAGCAGAATATATCATACATATAAGAACAAGCAAAAGAAAGAAGAAAAGAAACTGGATGATAATAATGATGCTTAGAAGAAGAAAGAAGATATATTTATCACTTCGGACAATTTTCCTTCTTGGTATATTTTTTTTAACTAGATCTATATAAAGATTTGTTTCTTGCACATCTCTTCTATATATACACATATTTTCACGTGTTCTATGCGTCGTTTGAGTAATAATGTTAGAATGAGATAATATTTGATTGTTAAACATCTAGACAAGATATAAGGATTTTTGGTGAGTTTATTATTTTAGATCTCTCTGATGAATGATCTTTTTGTCCATACTAATAAGAATAATTGACAATTATCATACTTTCATTAGTGTATTCAGGAGACTTTTTTTTATTTCCTAACAAAAATATTTCTAATGAGTTTGCTTTTTAGATCAGAAAAACAAGACTGAGCTTCTTCTTTTTGTTTTGGTTTTTTGTTGAATAGTCAATAATACACTAGATTTACAAATTTGATTTAAAATGAAATCATATTCTTGATTCACTTTTAAGAATCAATTAGAATCGATTGCTAATTATTTTATAAATAATTTAATGCTTTTCGAATGTTTTTTTTCTGAGGTAATTTTTCAAACATTTTGACGTGTTATAAAAATTGATCATATTGATATTACATAATTGTACTAATAAATAATAAGAATAAATTAGGCTAATATGGAGATTAATTATGCTATCGATCAAAAAAATAGAGATAAAGATGACGATATCTAGATCGCGAAGTTCATGGATTGAATGAATAGAAACCCAATACTATTCTTTAGACAGAAATTTTTTTTTCTTTTCATTTGAAACGATCAACAATTCTTTTGCTGTTATACCAACAAAATATTTAACTTAAAAAATGATTTAAATATTGAATTTTTCATTTTTTTTTCTTTGTCTCTCTTTCTCTCTTTGTCAAAAAGCTAAACGTCATGAATATCCTCGTTGCGTTTATCCTTCAAGCATATTATCTGCATGGTATTAAGTGCTCGTTCCCTTAGGGTTCCAATTGTAATCTTATATAAATACGATCGTTTTTCCTAGGAAGATGAAACGCAACCACAAACATCCTATTCATCGTCATTTACTACAGTAACATCAAAACGTGAAATAAACAATAATAATGTAATAGAACATTCATCGTTAGTGACTGATAAAACTATGGATTCAAATGTAATGCGTTTAATTTCTCGATTTGATCCAAAAGCAAATGTTGTTAATAAACCACGTTCATTAAATCAATTAAAAACATGGCATACATTACCCGATCGTTCACCTATCATCTCTACACATCCATCTGTCTCAAACATGTCAACAATTATACATGAAAAACCAAAATTAGAACGACAAAAAGCCATAGATGATAATGATAATAATTCATATCATCATCCAACAATGAAATATAGTGAACGTACACGTACAGAATTGATTGTTCAACCACAAACAACAATGACAACACCATTAAAAATTGTAATTGACAATGATATTAAAAATCATATTGAACCTCAACAACCATATCAACCATTAATAACAACGATTAAAAATAATACTGATAATCGTCCATCACGTCGTGCATGTGCAGCATTAAGTAAATCTGAATGGGATTTACGTTTACAAAATGATTTAACAATAAATACTATAATACCAGTTGAAAATACATCTGATGTAATTCATAATCATCGTCCATTATTATCTCGTAGTAAGAGTGTTGCAACTATTAATAACGATGATAATGATGATGAGAATGATGAAATCAAAACTCGACCGTTATCAACGATTGTACGTGATGGTTCATGTGTAGAAAAATTACGAGAATTATTTGCTAATAAATCATCAAATGATTTGAGATCATCGACAACAACGCCATTAAATCAAAGAATATCTGATAATGAACAGCAACAAAACTCATCACACTATTTAGATATTGATATTGATCAAAATAGACGATTTTCGGATGATCCATCGAGAAAACAACGATCTGTTACTGAAGTTATACCAACAAAAACCAAAATTGATTCGATAATATTTTCAAATAATAAAGATCTTAATAATCGTTCAATAACAACAAAACAAAATAATGATACAAGCTTAGATAAAAATTCAATTTTTAATTTAAATAACGATAATAATAACAAACGAAACATCACGAAGCCAACAGTCATACAACAAGATCAAGATTTATCACCATCAACATCTCACAGAACTATTAAAAAGCCAATATTAAAAAGTCAAAAAACAGTAGAATGGTATGTTAAACTGCTTTATTATCTATTAAATAACGAGTCTAAGATGATATCCTCTTTACTTCTCAAATTATTTGAGATTCACCTTCAACACTGTGAATAAAGTCGACTGTTTTTTTTGATTACGTGAATTATTTTCACAAAAAACTTTGTATAAGGGCCGACTAAAATGTAATAGATGTAATTGAAGAAGAATTTATGTATTGAATTTAACATCTTTGAGGCAAAGATATTTTAGAATCATTGCGAGTATATCATTTTCAGAAGAAAAGTCTATATATCATGGATAAAATGTCTACTACGATCCTCAAATTATCTTGAAAATAATTGTTAGACACAACAAGTAGACTAGTGTGCATGACCTTCTAGAAAAGAAAATTTATATGACTATTTTTTTATCAAGTGAAGACTATTTATATCATAATTGGCGATAAATGTATTAATTGGCAAATCATTAGCACTAATTTAAAATAGAAAATAATAGATGTTGGTGACAAACAGTAAAAACTAGTATAAATTTAAACACTTTATATACGAAGAATTTTTTCAAAAGAATTATTAAAATCAGTACATTATTATTATTACTCTGTAGATAGATATAGTGTAGTCTTTCTCATGGGAAAATATTTCCTGTAAAAATGCTTTTTAGTCTTCACCCATCAACATTTTATCAGAGAAGAGGTCAATAAAAAGGCACATCGACATGTCATCAGGTTGTCATACGGTTCAATGTGCACAAGATAAAACCGTGCTTTCTGTTGGTTGGCTGTTCAATAGTAATGTCATACTTTACTTAACCTATGATCAAAACAATTGCCGTAATTATTTTGAACAACCTTGCTCACAATATACATAAGTTTGAATGTAAATTTTTAAGTGCCACTTACCTTTTTTACTCGCCTCTTTTGTGTGTATATGTTTATGAACTACTCAATTCTAGCTGTGAAATGTCAATGAAAAACGAAAAAAATGTCCTTCTACTTGTATTCCTTTCAATAACAAGTAGAATTTTTTGTATTTAAAAGATGCTAGCTGTAGGCAAGTGAACATGTTCGCTGCGTTTTCATAAATACATTTCTAAGAATGAATTCAACATATAATGAAATTCAGCGAAAAATTTTATAACGACTATCTAACCTTATCTATAAGTAAAATGAGAGATCTTTCAACAAGTATGAAACTTGGCTTTTCATCGATTTATTCTTACCTGCGAGTTTGTTGTATGTGATAATCATGAATCTTGTCTGTTGTCGTTATAACCAATCGTTGAGTCATGAAGTCTTTTTTGTCCTTATATCAAATAATATGCTATATTTTAAAAATATGTCATACATACATTCATTTTGTTTTTTGACGACTTAACATTACTACTATATTCGTAGGTATGTGTCTTTTAGTTAAAATACACATTGAGATATATTCACTTATAAGTTTGTGTAGCCTTCTACTTCAGTGCATGAATCGAGATTTTACTTTATTACCATAAACAAAAAATGTTTTTTAGTATTATTCGTTGATACATAAACGAAACATTATTAATATTATAACTTTAAAAATTAGTGATTTTTTAGATTGTTTTTTCAAAATTTGATTGAAGTAGGTAGATACGAATAATTGCACCAATTTTTTGTTTTCTCAATCATACTGGAATTGGCGATGTCTTAGCGCTATCCCACTTGTAAAGTTGTGTCCCATCTAATGTTGAATTGTTTGGCGAACCGAATCGAGATCGGATTAGAAAAAAAGCTTTCGAGAAGCATTTGAGTCAGAAAGTTTTAGACAAATATGCATTGTGCTGTATGAAAAAACGTATGTACATAAAACATTCTTTTCTTGTTTCAATCATTTAAGAAGAAAAATACAGTGCAGTTATGAATTAAAAAGCAAAAAATACTGGCAGTAGCTTCCAATACTATTACGACATACCCGAAAGAACCTTTTTAAATTTATCTTTCCAACACTAGCTCACTCCATTACTGTAGCAAGTTATATAAATCTTGGATTAATTTTTAGTCGGAGGCCGATGTTTTTCCGTTTATCTATCTATAAGGCACGCATTTTAAGTAAACTAAATTATTGTTGTATTTTTATCTTTACAATAGTGAGTGGTATGGATCATTTTTAGACAAACTAACTAAACTAGTGGTTTGACTCATACGCAAAAAATTTGATGGTTCGGTCTCTTAGCTCAGAAAAAATCTTAAACTCCTATCGTCAAACTACTGACCTATCTCTGCGGCGCAAATATTTTCGTCTTCTCTATTTTTTAAAATGCGGATTAACCAAACAGACATTTCTAACTTTGAAGTAGAGAGAGTTTATTGAGCCGCTGCACGATCGAAGATCAGATCGTTTCATCTATGTGAGAATGAATAGCAGCCAAGTGAAGGTTTCAGTGTAGTGGTCACGAAAGCTCATGTTGCCTGGCCATCCTTTTTTCTAACGGCTGTAGGCTAAAACGTCTTGTCACAACGTATGGTCAACAATTACTCAATGACACAGTTTAAGACAGTATTGAAAGTTTTTTTTACAGTTTTAATGTACCTGACTCATCAGTGTTATCTTTTTTGCTGCTTTTGTTGGTTTTTTCTTTATTATTTTTAGTAGTGTTCTCTTCTAACCTATCCTGTGTAAGGTGATACGGTGGTGATCTTATAAATAGTGTACTTTTTGTGCTTTCCTGTCAGCACGCATATGTACAGAGTGTTGAAAAAAGTCACCATGGATAAAAAATTGTAATAGCTCAGCCATTTCTTAACCAAACGTCAGGGTTGCGTTTTTGTTTGATAGAAGAACATTCCAAGTTTTATTTCATATATTTAGAAATTTTTATATAAAAAAAGCCAGTGCTGAAAGATAATAAAACTTACAACACCTGGTTGTACACGTACTTATAATAGTGCATAAGAATGTTGAGCTTGTTGTAATTGAACGAAATCTTTGTCAGAATCGTACTACAGCTCAATCTCGGATTGCTCTCCAATCTTACATATTCAAATACTTTGTTCAATTTGAAGTTTTATCAAAAAGAAGTTAATTTCTCTTTATCAAGATGAGCTACGAATTCCAGCTTCTGCAATAGCCTGATACAACCTTTTACAGACTTCCAAACCATTCCAGTTTGTAGGACTACCTTCTTTGTATGAAATTCCATTAATGGTTGTTCATTTTATTAGTTAACTTTACCTGAAAAACATTTTTGATTACTCTTTTGTACTTTTCCAGATGCTAGTATAGAACAACGACGGCTGAAAAAATCCACACTATCCAATCATTTTTCAACAAAATCAAATAATTATTCTGTTATATGAAAGGAAACATCATCTACTATATTTTAATATTAAAAGTTATTTATGGTCCTTTCTAAAAGTTTTGCAGTACATAATTTATTAAAAAATAGAACCCAAAAATTTGAATTTCACCATAATAAACCCATGCATTTTTCAAATATTAACAAGAGTTTCCAATCGTATGAAATAAAACGTGGAACATTTCTCTATCAAAGAAAAAAAACAACCTTGAAGTTCGGTTACGAAATGACGGAGTTATTACAATCTTTTATCCCTGATGACTTTTGGAACACCCTGTATTTTTTTACTGTCGAAAAGCTGCTAATGTGATGCAAACGAAATATAATTCCGTTTCTTCAACTTGACACTTGTAGCATGTGCATGTATTTGTAGGTGATCGTTTTTCTGGAAATTCTGTACTTTTTCATGATAGCATTCGATTGAGTCAAAAATCCATGCAAAGATGAATTGTCGATCTTCTGGATCATCGTGATAACATTTGCTTCACTATCAGCGATAATTTAACGCTGACTCATAAGTTCCGGATTGGAGTGTAGTAAATCGATCTCTACATCAGCTATAAAGTACCATTTGACAGCGAAACAAATGTTATTGCAATGATCAAGAAGATCGACCATCATCTTTGCATGGGTTTTCGACTCAATCAAAGGCTATCATGAAAGAGTACAGAATTTGTACAAAAAACGACTACCAGCAAAGTCATTTACATGCTGCAAGTATCGGATCGCTGTATCAGTTTGAAGAGAAATTATAAGGCTAACTCGTATAGATGTTAAATTCTCCATCGCATGCTGTTTACTATTTTTTCGATCAGTGATTTTCCAGAGTCTCTCTAGAATTATCGACCATTAACCAGTAACCGTAAATAAGTGATCGAAAGATTAACTATTGAATTATCACCTAAAGTACGTAAAATTTGACTTCGACCACACACAGCTTCCAATGCCCTTCACGGACGAACAGCTCCAGTGTAAAACTTACAGAATCAAAAATTTGCGAAAAACTTTTTTACACATATCAAAATGATCATACGTACATTTGTATTCGAGAAAAAGTTTATTTATTCTTTTGCTACAAAATAATAGCGTAAAGGGAAATTTTTTCAGTTTTATCTGAAAAGTTAGTTTTCCAGAAGTCTAGTACTTAATTCCAAATTAATCAGAAGTAATGTACTATCAGACTCATTATGGTCTAGAATCTTTATGAATCGAGATTTGTGTTGTTATTACATTTTCTCCAGACACTAGCCTATTAGATGATTTAGTAGGATGCTCGTTTAATTCAAAATTTTTCGATCTTACAGATTGAGTTTAAAAAAACTAATAACTTCTGGTGGAATCAGATTCGAGCTAAGGAGAAAGAAATAGCGTGATTTAGTCTTTGATATTCACTGTTTTAATCGATATTCAATTCTTTCATTATAGTAAAGCAAATAACCTTTAGTATGATCAACGTATTTTTCTCTTTGATTTAGTAGTTTCGTCACTAAAGGATGAAGTAAATCTCTAGTATAGAATGAATAGATATATATTGAGCAACAAATTTTATTGCTTTAATGGTTCGATATTTGACTACTATAGCACAGAGCGATCACGTACTAAACTTTTGGAATTGCTAGAAAAGCAGTATAGCGTATAAAAATCGCATGGATCCAGAAGCATGAATACAAAAACACTTCAAGTGATTAGGTATCAACAATACGGGATCTAGTAGTTTTTTCAACAAATTTTTAGAACTTTTACTCCCTTTTATTAGCCGCAACATCTAAGCTAACAAAAGTAAACGTACTAAAAATATCAAGATCTATTGAAGTTCCAAAAAGACTTGATCTACGTTTAATTTACATAATTGTCTACATTCAGAAAGAAAGAAAGACATTCTTCTTCATAAAATATAACGTTTATTGCGAATATATGGAGTAAACACTAAAAGCGTTGCTTATTATCTAATTTTCTCGAAAACTTCTTCTCAAAACAATCTTCAAAATTGATTGAATGATTCTTCCTTACAAAGGTAATTGTAGTCAATTTTCGAATCGCATCAGATTTAGATATGCTCTCCTATTAAGACAACTGATCATCATGCAATACCCCCACAAAACGATTGTGATTTGCTCGGCACAATGCATAGATTATCAATGATAAATAAAGATTTATATATACTATTTTATGATTATCTTCGTAAACTATGTCTAATTTTCACTAGCTAGTTGAGTAAATAGGCATTTTTGAGAATCATATGGAATCTTTATAATAGTTCAATATATTCTTTATTTATCACTAGAGAATTGCAGCTTTATTGATTATGACGATTCGTACCAGTATTTGTTTCATTAATTTCTAAGCTTTCAACAGTTAAATACTAATAGTTGGAACTTGGAAGTTGTATTTATTTTATTATAAAAAAATCTTCTTTTCCCTTTCATACCAAGTTTTCTGTTTCTTTGATTGTTCTTGATTATATAGATTTGGAAAAAGATAGACAGCTGTTGATGAAAGAATTGAAGATATGTTTTTATTATGTACTCTAATTCGCCTATAATGACTGAGTTCCGAAATATGAACATATTTTCATAAACTCTGCCCTATTTTCTATGAAATAATTAATAGTTACAAGAACCTTAGTTTATTCAGTTGTGAATGATTAAATGGTCACATACTAAGATTAATCAGTGTATGGAATGGTATTATCTAAATATATACACGTATTCATAAATGCCACACGTCGTAAAGACCACTAATGGTAAAGAAAATAATGATTTTTCTTTTTCTTTTGTTTAGTGGACTGCGCTGTGTTTCTAACTACTAGAAAAACTATTATTTAGCGAAGTAGTCAGCGGGTAGGCTAGAATAAGCTCAGCCCTCCCCCCTCAAGGAAGATTTGCTCAGTCTTTTTTTAGATTATTAATTGTACAGATTGGGGAAAAGATGGTTTGATTCTCTAATAGTTGTAAATGAAAGATTTTAATACTTTTTGTTCTTTCATTCGCATATGTTGAATGAGTTCCGAAATATAAGGATATTTTAAAAATGCTGCCGTTTTTCTATTTGAAATAATTAATAGTCATATGGTAGTTACCAATCCATATGCTGTACAACATATGTAGTCTTGTCAGAATTCACTTTCTTACACCATACACCCAAACTTGAACAAGTTTAATCTTCTTTAGAGATAGTCGTGTTACACTAGATATTCAATGGTATGATTTAGGTCTTGTAGAAAAATTCTCATAACTCCTTTTTTCTTCTAATAAAGTGCTCTAATATATATATATGGAAGAACTAGTTTTTAGAAGAAAATATTGAGGGAAACAGATTTTTATCAAAACCGTCTTTTTGTGCTTTCATCTAACACACGACTGCTTTCGTGTCAGAAACTTCGTTGTCAGATATCTGTATGCTTATCCATTGTATTGATCAGTTGGCATACGACCGAAATGTAACTTAGAATAAAACGAGATAAAACTGATTTCTCCTGGTATACATATGAGCACTTACAATAAGGAAATCACAGATGTATGCGACGAAGCATCACGTTGTACGTAATAAATAAGCGCGAACACTACAAGACTCTAAATATTAATCCAAAAAGTTATACAGAATTGCATTAACGATTCGTCTCAGTTATGGCGCGAGTTCAAGACCCAAGCGCGATTGCGGTTAGAATAAACTAAAAAAAGTTGAGGTCGAGTTTTCTATTAACACTACGATCATATTTACAAATCATTGTTCTTTATAACATAGTTAAGGTACCTTTGATCTCCTAACAATATCTAGGTACTACGGATAGATTTCTGATGAAAAGAATAGTCTTTGTTATCCATTTTGTTGTGTTTATAGAAGACAGATTTTTATTTTATTTGTCTTATAAATCACAATGATCCAATAACATGTCTGAAAATAGAAAGAGCCAAGCCTGTATTATCGTGTGAAGATCATATAGTTCATTAGCCTAATCTTTGAGAATTTATCAATCCTTGTTGTCAGAAAGAAGGAAGCGCTTGAGATTCACTTCCTCGATTAATGATTTTTTAACGAAGCTCGAAACAATTAATAGTAGTGCTAGTAGAGTGACATAACAATACAATGACGGTATTTTGATTTGGGTAATTTGTATCATCTATACTATGTAAACAATGTGTATGACGTAACTACGTCTATGATATATAGAATCAGTCATTTACTCGCATCATTAACGAAGAAAAGTTGATAATTCCAGCACATATCATTTATTTAATGTTGAACTGTCAAACAAGAAAAAAGTTTATTCTAGTAGTTACATCTGCTGCCTTCATGTCATCATTCTAAAGAATTCCTCTTGTCTCTCTATTCCAGTATCGATTCTCCTGCTACTACAACAACAACAACAGCTTCTTTATTACGAGATTCTAAACAACGTGGAATGCCATCTAAAATGGCTACAGTCGATTGGTCATTTGATGCTTACCGTTTTCGTCGTTTACAAGAATATGAAAAGCCTACAACAACAATATCCACACAAAAACAATATCCAACAATGATGAAAAACATTGCTAAAGTTGAACCGTATAAAGTTTATCCACAGCAACAACAATTACCTTCAAAATCTCGCAACAGCACTGTTAATGTTAGACCATTGTACAGCAGCAATGACTATCAAAAGGCACGTAACAATAATCCTAGCACGTCATCTTCATTATCGGCTACATACGGCATGATAAAAACGAATGTTCAAAATTCTGATTTCCTTGTGCCTAATCCTCCCTTTTCTGACAATAATAATGTAAAGACGTCATTATCGCAAAATTCACTACATCTATTGTTAAATAACAGTAATAGTAACGATAATCTTAATTATAACGGAACGAACTCACTCGTACAAGGTCCGAATAAATCCATGGTAAGAAGGCAAACTCACAACAGTACTTTTTTATGAGCACTAGAGACACTTATGGTGGGTCAGATCTTATAAACTCTTGATAATTTAGCAACTACCCCTTCGCATGGTGTTTAAGGCATGGTTATGCACGCACTTTTCGAAGTATCATTATTTTAAAAAGAGTTCAAGATTTGTTACGTGTTATCACTCTCTTTCTAAATTTTAGTCGCAACAGTTTGCTAATACGAAATATCAGAAACTCGATCATCCATCATTATATCATTATCACCATCAATCACAACCGTCATCATTCACACCAGCATCATCTCATAATATTCATACAAATGGCAGGCAATCTTCAGCTTCATCTCGGTCAATAACGACGAATCAAATACCGAACGAAGAAGATACATCGAGTGGAAAATCACGTCGACGATTTCATCGACGAAAACAAATGAAACGTTCGAAAAGTGTCGATGAGTTAGGCGATCATCAACTAACACCAACAACAGCAGCGACTTCTCAGTCGAAAAATATCGTGGCATCTTCTTACTCGCTACACCCGTCAAACCCATTATCAAGACAACGTTTAGCCGATTCATCAACTCGTCTTACAAGCCACAATTCATCGTCGAGTGAAATTGACTATCAAGATAATAATAAAGCGGCTATTCTAAGATACAAATCACTCGATTCTATCACACATCGAACGGCACCAACATCGTTGTTGACAAAAGTAGATAATATTAACAATCAAAGTAGAAAATTGAATAGAAGTCGGCCGTATATTTCAAAAGTGAATGAAGAAATGGACTTTGACAGCGATGACAGTGTGTGTGGCATACCAAAACCAAGAAAGTAAGCAGGACTATATTTCTAAGACACTATTAGTTCGAGAGCAGACATTCAGGACTACTGTTTCGCGCAATCGAAGTAGTAAAATCTCTCGTAAAGTGCATTGAATATTGTAATCGTATACTCACCTTCAGGTAAGCCCTGATATTGATCATCAAAGCGCTTATCATCTAGTTGGCAGCAATATGTACGGCATTCTGCGTTTACAAATAGGAGCATGTATTCTACATGCTTTGCATAAATTATATAGAAGCCACACTAATCCTTCAATAAAACTCGCTCAAATGCTTGAAATCAAATTAAGTATTATTCAAGACTAATTGTGCAAGAACGGCAATATACTTGTGTGTTGTGTGTGTGTGAACCTGAATAAAACTTCAGTGAATGATATTTCTGCATGTTTGAGCCTTAGGATAGATGTCGATACTTTCTGATGATGTGGTTGTTAGAGAAACTGTAGAGAAAATGCAGATTAGGTTTAATGATAGCAGCCGTTTCAAGCATCTTCGGACAAATATATTTATGTTTACCACAATATGATTACTTATAATATCATAACGCCTCCTCTATTCGCATGAATTTCTTTTCTATATATATTCTGCTGCTTAAGAACTTTGCTTATACTAATGCTACACAAGCTTGGTATATAAACTTGAAAACCAACTACAGTACGACGATCATGTTAAGTATAGACACGAAAAACTGACTGAAGCCTTGAGCTTTTCCGAAATAGTCGCACGGAATATACGTTTTCTTCTTCCTTCCCATGTGCCCCTTTTTATAAAATAATCAAGCATGAAATTGTCCTTTTTGAGCTCTCCAGAATTAACTTTCTTATGCTCATGATCCATTCGCGTATTTTGAACCAGGCGCCTCTCGACTTTCAGAACTGTGCCGGTTCTGTTATTATTAGAACATTTATTTACCTCACAAGTTGAATTTGTGCTTGGATTTTCTCTGAAGTTTAAAAGTAAAAGGTTAGAATGTCTACTTTATAATAACATACTTGCTGTCAACCAGATGTCTGCATACATTGTACTAATGAAACAGGTCGGGAAACAGTTTCTGTAACGAAATAACCCAGTCGGATATTGAGTCGCAAATTGTCTAGAATTATCAGAAAGGCTTCACGCTTCACCTGAGAATCTGTTTAAACTTCTTCTAGAAAACTTTAGAAAGAACTGTCTTACAGTTTTCATTACTGTCCTAAACCACAGCATCCATCCTCTATCTCAAGCTCTTTTTCCCCTTAACTTACAACTTCTTAGGGCCTCTGCAAAATAGAAGCCAAGTGGACTCTTAATTTTCCCTGGTTCAGGTGTGGCATCGCAGTTCCTGAGAGTCTCAGGATCGATACTTCTTTAGGTGAAGTAATTCCGAAGACGAATGGAAACATAGGTAATCAACCACGCTGAATCTGATGGCAACATTTATTTTTCAAATGAGTTCCAAAAACCTAGTGAAAACCTATATGACGTGAAATAACCCATTTTTGCC